TTGGGAACATAAAAATGTTACATACAACATAATTTATTTTAGAGCGAGTGAAGTGAACATTTTCGATGCCATTTCAGGCAAGGAATCACAAGATATAAAAAAGAACCCTAGCTTTCCCTAGAAGATAGCTTTATATACAAGTAACATATATACGAATTCTGAGACATTTCTATTTCTCTTCTCTTCAAAAAGCAATGAAATTTTTCTTCAGTTGATCATGAAACCTACCGGACCGCCGTACACTAGCAGCTCTTCTCGCCGTTGAACCAACCGTCGTGGGCCGAATCGATCTCTGCCTAACCATTTCCACAAATTCAGGATCATTAGAATGACCCTCGTACCGGATCCATTGAATCATTTGATGGTAGCCCGGGAAGAATCTCATCTGAACCGACTTGAAAACGAAGTAAGGGATCAAAGCGATGATCATCACAAAGAGAGTGGTGAGCCAGTAAGATGGAGCTGGAGCTAGGGCTTCGATGAACACTTTGTAAGCATCTGAGGAGAAGCTAGGCGTGATGGCTCCATAGATCATGAGGAATATGTACCAAAAAGCGATTGATCCCCAAATAACAATGTGTTGGACCCAAGTGAAGTAGCTTATGGCTAAAGCCATTTGGAGATTGACGACCCATACGACGCAAGTGTACATTGTCCCGCCGAGGATTTCCCGGCCGGCGGTTTTGCCATTAGGGTTGTAAAGTTGGTGTTTTAGAGATTCCTTGCAGAGGAAGAAAATGGCGATAGCGGTCATGACTCCGTTCAACATCCATCCGATGATTCTCTTCCAACTGAAGAGAAGATTCTGAACTCCTTCTTGGTAGAGCAACGGGAACTGCAGAAAGAAAAAGAAAAACGAAGTTTATTCGACGATTCAGAGGAATTTATATACGGTTTGTAGAGTGTATAGTTTGCATACCTTGTAACAGAAGCGAGCTGAGACGTCTTGATCGAAAACTCCGAGAGCAATGACGGGAAGCGAAGAGAAGAAGACGTTAAAAAGCGATAGAAACCAGTCGTTATATGCGGGTTGAGCAGAGAAGGATGTGTAGGCTTCGTATAAGAACACAGTGACACCAAATGTGATATTCTTGTAGAAGAAGTAACATATCTGCCATAGCGGAAATAAAACCCGATTAGAGAAATTGCGATGATGTATGCATAGGGATAGAATTTATCTAAAGAAAGTATCTGAAAAGTAATGAACTTGTACCATGGATGAGATTCTACTGTAACACCAGTGACCATGGACGAGCAATAGACGCTCTAAGTAGCGGAATTGAGCGATGGCTATATCGCTAGACATAACTGCTTGCATTCCCTCAACACCGCTGATTCCAACACCAATGTCCGCTTCTTGAAGCATTCCGACATCGTTTGCTCCATCTCCAATCGCTAAAGTTGTCTTCCCGGTTCCAGTTTTGACCAACCGCGTAACCTGTAAGAAGAAAACAAATCTATTAAAATTAAACCGCAACCGCGATACTAAAGCCCGTAAACACCATTTCCACATAAGAGAAAAAAAGCATTACCAGTGCCTTTTGTTTAGGTGATGATCTGCAACAAATAACTGAGGCACATCCTATGGCTAAATCAAGAAACTTTTTCTTGAAATCATCTTCAAGTGCGTACGTTAGCGACTTCCCGTCAATGATCAACGCAAATGCCTCCTGAGATCCCGTGCCGCTTGATCCTGTGATTAGAGCTTTCCCTTCTTCCATTTGCTTCACGACACTTTCTCTCGATGCCTATATATATAATAAATCTCATTGAGTTAAACTATATCGAAAATGTTTAATCGTTTGAAATTCAAGAAAATTCTTACCTGTTCAATCATATCTTTCTCTCCAGCTTTCTCCAATGCCTTGATATGTGGTGTCTCAAGATTTATAATGATCTGCTTCATCTCTTGTCTTAGTAAACTACAAGCAAATCTGCAGAAATTCCGACAAAACCTCAAAAACTATAAAACAAACACACTAAGAACAATGTTTTGTATCCAATCATAAGAGCAAAACCAAAAGTTTCCTTACCCTATATTGATAGCTGTTTCCATTTTATCTCCGGTTAGAACCCAAATCTTTATTCCTGCTTGAGCAAGCTTGTCGATACAATCCGGAACCTAAAACAGAATGAAAGTAAACCCGTTTTAGTCCTACTCGAACCCAAAACGTCATTAAAAATCTATAAAGAAGTTGAGTCTTAAAAGAGCCATACCCCATTTTGAAGTTTGTCTTCAACAGCAGTTGCACCAAGGAGGATCAAATCGCGTTCCATCTTATCGGTGATTTCATCGATTAAGCTCTCACGATCCTCTGTCACCGAGTTCTTAGCTTCATTAAAGTTCTTGCTGAATTCTATATACTCACTCTCATCAACATCGCGGTATGCAAGTATCAATGTCCTTAGCCCTGCATCTGCATATTCATTAACATGTTCTCGTGTTTTCTCTTCGAATTTACGCCCGTTTTTCGCAAGTCTTTCAAACATTACACTGCACACACACACAAAAAAACAAGATTCCACAAATTCAATATATATCAACAAGAAAGCCTCAAAATGTAAAATCTCTCAAGATTTTCAGTCACTTACTTGTCAGCTCCTTTGGACAGTAACAGAAGTTTCCCATCTTCATCGCGCACAATCACCGACATTCTCTTTCTCGCACTGTTAAACTCAAGAACGTTTAATAACCGATATACCCTGTTACAAAACAGAGGAATATTTAGTGTTTTGACCTCAAGAAATCGCAATGTAAGTCCAATTTCACAAACAAACCGAAAAAACGAACCTTTCAACTTTCTGCCCTGTTGCAATATCTAATTCACGGAATGAGATACCGTTCTGTGTTCGGTTAAAGAACTCAAACCCGAGCTCTCGCGCCGCCACAACAAATGCAGCTTCATCAGGAGACTCAGCTTCGTAAGAGACAGTCCCGGTGGCTTCATCGGTTTCAGGTATAGCCGTGTGACAAACAGCTAACAACCTGAAGAACTTTTGCAAAACCGCTGCTTCTTGTTCCTTAACCCAATTCCCTTTCATAACTCTCTCGTCCTCGAAATTAAACCCTTTAATCTTAGGACCAGACCGGTCTACTACAACATCCAAATCATCATGAACCAAAGCCGTACCGCCGCTTCTCATAGCCATAGATCTTTCAACTTCGGTTATACCACGTCCGTAAGCAGTTCCCGCGATCGAACACTTTATAAACTCCATGGAATTGCAGGTCAATGTTCCGGTTTTATCCGATAGGACGGTATCAACCATCCCAAGCTCTTCGTTGAGATTAGATGTTCTTGCGTGCGCGGGTTTATCAGTCTCTTCATAGTACATAAGAATGTCTCTATTGATGAAAACACTCTGAAGAACTTTAACGATTTCGATAGAGACGTAAAGCGAAATCGGGATGAAGTAACTGTAGAGCATAACCGCAGTGAAGAAATGAAAAATCGCAGCCAAAGGAGCTCTCTCTGGATCAAAGAAGATCTCTGCATTGTCTGGTCTCAAGTACCATCTCTCTGTTCTTCCATCATTTCTCAATCTATCCTCTCTTGTCTCAATACCGAACACAATCGAACCGATAAACGACATTAGAAACACTACAAAGAACATCAAGTAAATGATTTTGTCCATTTTCCTCTCAATTCTGCTTCTCTTCGATGGAGGTTCAGTTGAGTTTTGAATCACCTGTTTCAAAAATTGAGATTCTTCAATTTCTATTGTTCTTAGTGAGAAACAAAAAAAACAGATCTTTTTAAAGTTTATACCTTTGTGTCGTGTCCAGTGAAAACAACAGCTCCATAAACAAACTCTGTGTTTCTAAGCTTAGAATCTCGAAGAAGAAGCTGTTGAATAGACAATGGAGATTTCTGTTGTTCCAAATCTAAAGTTCCAACGAAAGTATAAAGATCTGCATTTGGATCTTCGCATCTCACTATAGCTTTCAAATCTTTGAAATCGGAATCTTCGTGTAAAACAGAGGAAGTCGCTTCTAAACCCTGTTTCACTTTCAGATTCGTTTCACCGTCGTGATTCATCGTCCCTACATAACAAATCGAATCTTCGTAGCTCGAAGATAAAAGCAAAAGATCCGCCGGAAAAAACTCGTCTTTTTCAACCCTCACTAAATGTCCGACTTTAAGATTCCTCCATTCTTCTTGCCGGAATATTCCGTTTCAGTCGTGTACCTTCACTTTCCGGTTATTCACTTCTATGTCCTAAAACAAACAAAAAGACAACATTTTTTTTTTAAGGATTTGAATTCGACGAGTTTGAGATTCGGACAAAAGAAAAAACAATCTCGGACCTGTTTTTTTCGACCCCAATCTTCGATTCCTTCTTTAACCATACTTACGGCGATGACGAAGCCGAGAGGTAAGAGAGCACTAACGGCACCGTAAGGAGAAAGAGCAGTCAACGACAAGATTCCGGTGACGAGGAAGTAGAAATTAGCGACGCGACGAAACTGTTCGAAGAGTGATTTCGGTATGAACGAAGCCGGAGTGTATTTCGTTGATCGGACATAGTTTCCGGCGTAGTTACGACGTTCAGCCGCCGGAGAGTTTGGCTCGTTACAGTAAACGACTCGAGAGTAACCTGGTCCTCCGATTTGTGAATGGTCTTCTTCAAATCTTGATTTACGGAATTTGAAAGCGTAGATATTGCTTAGATGTAATCTACTTCTTCTCCGACCACCTCCCGCCATATCTGATTATTATCTCTCTTTGTGTCTGACTATCTCTGTGTCTGTGTGTCTTAAAATGGCGAAGACCCAGGAAAATTGGAGAGGTAAATGAATGAAAGAATGAAGATTTTTGTTGTTTTTGGAACTAAAGAATGAAGAATCTGAGAGAGAAATGTTGAATTTTGTGAGTAATTATATGGTTTGATTAAGAAATGAAGAGGAACGAGTG